AGACGAGGCAAGGAATGGATCTCGACGAACACATGGAAACTGATAGAACAGGGAGGGGAAATGTTGAAGCAAAAGATGAACCAGTCCAGTGCATTGCAAGGATGAACAACGAAAAGAGGAACTGAGTACAACATATAAAACACTTCACTGGACAAAGAAGTGAAGAAGAGTGCGCACAAAGACATAAGACACTTCTACAACACACTTGCAAGTTAGGGAGAACAGGCTGCTTTTAGGTGAGACCTGACAACATCATATCAGAGGTAGGAGTGACAGAGACCTGACAACATATTATAAAATAACCACCTTACTATCTGGGAGGAAAGAGACCAACATGGATGAAACCAATGAAAGATAGTGAAGGAAACCTGGTTACCAAAGAAGAGAAACGAAGGAAACTATGGGCTGACCATTTCAAATAACTCTTGAATCGACCACCATCACCACCACCTTCAACTCGTCCAGAAACACCCCTCGCAACCCGGCCATAGAATTACCAGTGAACAAAAACCCCCAACAAAAGCAGAAGTGAAGTTCTGAACGTTATAAAGTTGCTGAAATCTGGGAAGGCACCTGGACCAGATGGAATTCCTCTAGAAGCACTGAAAGCAGATGCAGAGACATCAGCGGCGGACACGCTCACACCACTATTGCAGAAGGTTCGGAAGGAATTAAGGAAAGGTACCTGTTCATTGTCTGGAAGAGGGGCTACCCTGTCAAAATCCCTAAGAAGAGTGTCATAAATCTTTGCAAGAACTGGTGAGAAATCATGCTCCTATCCACCCCAGGCAAAATATTATTTCGCATCATCCTAGAGAGACTAAAAACATGCTCTGGATTCAAAATTGCGACCCAAACAGGCTGGCTGGCTGGCTGACTTCAGGAAGAAAAAATCATGTGTGGATCAAATTGCAACGCTACTCTACGCATCATCATTGAACACAGTATACAATGGCAGGCAAATTTTCACCCTACCTCAACTTCATCCACTTTGAAAAGGCCTTCGACAGCGTCGACCGAGAAGTAATTTGGCAGGCAGCTGCTTCAATACTACGGTTTTAGTGCCAAAAACCTTTATCAAACTCATTTAACACGTATATGCTATGCTATATGATGCTACATGCCAAGTGATTCACAATGGAAAGCTCAGTGATGCCTTTGAATTGAAGTCAGAAGCAAGACAAGCCTGCCGTCTACTATCACTGATGATCTTTTTGATTGTGGTCGACTGAACAAAACTAGATCATGTAACAGACCTCTGTGAGGAGCTGTCAGAAGAGGCGTATAGGCTGGCTGGCTGGCTGGACTGATGAAAAGACCCTAGAAGATTTGCATTCCGCCGATGATGAGTTATGTATAATATCTTATATCGTAGAAATTCGATGATCTGCAGGCGAACACCAACAAGTTGACGGAAGAGGCGAGGCAGCGAAGATGGGAAAAGGCAGAGGTGATGAAGAAACCCAACCAACAACAACAGTAGCAATAAGCACCAATCACAATCAACGGGAGAAGCCCAAAGGAGGTAATATCTTTTATCTACATATGCAGCATCGTTTCAACTACAAGCGGTGGCGGCCCAGATAACGATGTCAAAGCTAGGATCGGAAAGACAGCAACATAGGCCTTCCTTCATTAACCTGAAATCAGTGTGGAGATCTACTGCACTGCACTCAATATGAAGAACAATATCCTGATTTTCAACGTTAATGTCAAGCTGGTGCTTCTATGTGGTGGTTCAGAAACTTGGTGCGTTACGAAAAGCATTCCCAACAATCTATTGACATTCATCAACAGCTGCCGCCTACGCTCACACAATACTGAAGATCAGATGGCCAGAATAATGAGAATGAGCAACAAGGAACTCTGGCTGGCTGGCTGGCTGGCAATGAATCAACCAAGAACCCATCGCCCAACAAATATGCAGAATAAAGTCGAGATGGATTGGATTGAACATACACTGAGAAGATGGTTTGGGGTCATCACGCTCCAGGCCGTCGAGTAGAACCGAAATGGGAAAGGGTGAGTTGGGCGTCCGAGGTTAGGGTGACATGGAGGAGACGGTATGAGGAAGAAATGAAGCTTGTGGGCTGTGTTGGGGCTAGGTTGAAAAGACTGCAGAAAAGAGAGTGAAATGTAGACGTGCTACTGAAGTCCTATGTTCTACTAGGAACCCAAGGGAAAAATATTAGATAATAAATGTAAACCACCCTGACATAAAGTTATGGAGCATTTACTTAGGCTTCAGGTGTTATGAAAATAGGCTACTGATCACCTTCGTATTTCCATGAATCGTTCTAATGATTTGAGCCAAACAATGACGGTCAGGTGTCATCTTTTGCGCAGTTTATTTCGGTTCATTGTTTCTTTTGTGACTACAGTTACCCATCTAAGTTTCTCTGTAAATATGTTATGCGAATACCTTTTGATGGACCTATTGTGGTGTTTCCTCGTGTGTGTAATAAGATGATCAGTCTAAAAGCCACAATCCTGACACCTTGTTCAAGTCATACTTCTTTTCTGGATTAGGCTGGTAAAAACAAATTGCCTCCATTGGTGCTCATTCGGTCACCATTTACTGAGTCCTAATAAATAGTGAGTATTTATGCCTATTTAGTTCTTATCTTTTCTTGTCTTGCTTCAGTTTCCCTTTATTGTTTTATCACTTACTCATTCCTCTTATACCGTGTTCTCTTTTCACATTATAGCAATCTTACAATACCGCACTGGCCTCTATGTCAGTGATCCAGTTAGTGATTATGTTTCATGTATTCATAGCTTTTTATTCGAGGGTCTGGTAGATTCGAAAGTTACCTAAAACTATGTTTTTTGCTGGATTTTGCGCAGTTAAGCAAAGAAAGTAGAAACTTATTTGACAAGTAAAAACCGATTGCATTACGCACCGCCCAAACACTAGACACGTTATTCAGTATATAATTTGATACTCATCGCACTTACTATTATGGCAGCATATGGATAGTAAATTTAATCACTCACCCAGCTTCGTCCATTGTTGTTTTTTCTACAAGTGACATTTTTTATTCCTTTGTTAGTTAACATAGGTCATTATGGTGACTAGAATCAAATCACGATTTCACCTTTCATACTCATTGATACCCACTGATTGAATACACTCAGTGTCATGCATAAGAATCACGCCCGTTTTCGGACGGTTGGTTTTATTTGGTTTCTTAGACGTCGGGAGATTAAACGGGTTTCTTATTCATGCATCACTGTTCCAAATAACCACTTCGTATTCGAATTCTTCCTAGAATTCATATGTGTGTATTCAGTATCTGTTAATTCAATAATAGCGATCAGTGAAAAACTTCAGTTTGTTTGTTTGGAAAAAGTTTTTGGGATGAAGTCTGCAACACTAATAATCAAACCCTCAGTAATTTTCCGTAAAAGATGATAAGAAAGTCCATGCATTTTGTGACCTTTGTTATTTTGCGCAGTGAAATGACAAAAAGAGATATTCAATAAAATAAATTTCTCCTTTTACATTTGTTTCTACCACTTCCAACCCTAAGTGCTGGTTCACTTCAATAAATAAAGTGTAGCAGATCATTGAAGAGTTAACTTATGTGTACAAATATATCACCAGTATAAAATAAGTGTGCTCAGTGAGGGAACTGTTAAGGGAAGTCTTCTTTTTGCTAATAATGTACTAAAATGATGACAGAAAGATAGATAATTCACGATAATTGTCTGAATATACGAAATAGCTGAGTTTTATTGAGTGTTGATTACTTGTTTCTTTTCTGCAATCTTGTCTCGTCTTAGATTCCATCAACAATGAATTCAGTCAACTTATTTTTTCATTTTCAATATTGACCTTTTGATTAGTAAGTGGGTCTCAACGTAATAGACCAGTTATTGTAGTTGAGAACTTCGGGTTGCATTACAATTGAACTAGCAATCAGCTTACTTGCCGTCAACCTTATTGACTGAGCTATGTGAATCGGTTTGTAGTTAGTTTTTTTTACTCAGTTTTTATAGTATCCAGGCTTCCAGTTCAATTCTACTTCCACCAACGCTTTATTTAAACTTCGACCACAATCTTATTGCTGGGTTAAATTATCAGGCATGCTATAAATATCAAAGTATAGCATGCAGTGGAAAAGTGAGTTGTATTTACATCATAGAGAAGACAGCTGTCCCCCTTGTAATTTACGTTTTTCTTTGTCATAGCTGTTGAAAAGTAGTAGAAAAACAAAGAAATAATCTTTAGTTTGTTTGTTTCATAATCAATAGTTCAAGGAAAGTTTTTATCGGAAATGAATATCTTTTCAAAAGATATGCATGCAGATGATAACAAGTTGGAAAGTAAACCTGGTGCATAGAAGAATAAGCAATACCAGGTGTAAAAAAGTGTTGAATCATCTCTATCCATGACTTTTTCTTATCGCTTTGGGACTCTTTCAAATTGTACACAACATATCGTATTAGAGTCACTTAAGTTTGTTCCGGTGATCCTTATTTTGCAATCAATATTACGTGATAATTGTCCACTATTCTCAAATCTCCTACCTAGATTATTTCTGCAGATTGTGGCTTACCATTAGAACTTTTAGAATGTTTCCTGCATATTGACTGAATATTGATGCTCTAATAAGTTGTTGAAAGAGATACACAATACTTGTGTAAAGGAAGGTAAAATGATGTATATATTTTCAGGAGAAACTAGATGTGCTTTTATCCTGTGGAGTTACTCTAGAAATAACTAGTATATCGTTGAAAGTTGTACAGTCAACCGCTTCACTTCAGATACACCTGCCTTAATATCTACCTCATGAACTTACAATACTTACGATTGTTCTATCTTCATTGGTTTCTCTGAAAGTATTGTAAGTGGCATGTAAAGTGGTCAACTCATCAAGAAAGCTAGAACTAAAATAATAATTGTTTTGCATTTTCGCGCAGTAGATGTCAATTATATGATGCTTCCTTTAAAACTATTGTGACAGTATTTCTCCACTTTATTTTTTTCCTTAAAGGATTCACTGAAGAGTACAACTAGTGAATTTGCTTCTGATAGGTTGTCCGGTTATCCTGCTATAGTTTCAGGTAAATTCATGAAAGAGTTTTGTTATTTTGAAAAAATAATTTTGAATTTAGTAAAATATTGATAGTTCTGTGTGAATCAAAAAGTTTAATAATTCATTTTCAATGTTTTTATAGTTGTAGTGCAAATTCACTTTGCATTCTGCATACTTTTTAGATTGGCATATCTTGATTTCCTTCGACGTTTTGTTGACCAAAATTATACTCACCTTAAGAATAATACAGCTTCATTTTACAGCATTTTATTGTAGAGGGTTCTTGTTAGTTTATGAATGAAAGCAAACAGAAAATAAGTATACAATTCATGACAATATGACTGCCATGTCGTTTAGTGAACCAAAACTTGTTACATATATAAGTGGAATATAAAAATCTACTGATAAATAAAGTAGCCTTGTTTCCCTTCATTATTTCAAATTTTATGTGATTAGCTTGTGAATTGATAACAAATTACACATTCCATTTCGGAATTTCTCATAGCTTTCTAGTTTTTTAACTACCCATTGGGAACCACTCGCACCAGAATTAATGATGTGATCTCTGATACAAAGGTGTCATAAATTTAAGAAGACCATTTGGGGACATCACGTGCTAGGCCCTCGAATGGAACCCAAAGGGGAAACGACGAGTTGGGCATCCGAGGCTAGGGTGACATGCAAGAGATGGTGTGAGGAGGAAATGAAGCTTGTGAACAGTGATGGAACTAGGTTGAAAAAACTGCAGAGAAGAGAGTGCAATGGAGGTGTGCTACTGAAGCCCTATGTTCCACTAGGAACCCAAAGGACAAATAATAAATAACACAACATGCGTTCGAAACCAATTAAGCTGATCTACGGACTTTGGTGACCAGACCTGAGTTACCTTAATGCTGAACAATCATTTTACCCATTCGTCGCTGCGTTCATCAACTGTGATTTCGTTAGCGAAATTGATAAATCAACCTAAGTAGTTTCTTACTAAATATGTTGTTCAGTAGTACATACCGAACACTAATTTTTTCTCTAAGTTTGCTAAAGATTCAGTTTTTTTGAACAGTATTACTATCCAAAGGATTATATAATCTGCTTGTTTAAAGTTGAAACTACTATTCGGTCTACGAATATTTTAAGATTCTATAGACGAAGAACAGTTACCATCAAAGAAAGACTCCAGTTAATTCGAAGTTAGCATAAAGCCAAAATTCAGTTTTTCTATTTACCATGAGTGATAATCAGTAAATCCTGATATAGCTGCGTGAAAAGCTAACAAAATACATTTCAGTGAAGAAAATTTTCCTATGAATCATTTTCTAGAGCTGTACAGTCGTAATTATAATTACAGCAAATTGAATGTCCATCAATAGTTGCTGAGTCAATAAAAAGTCATCAAAAATTGTCAACAAAATCACGAAGTGACTATGGCTGGAAGGTCGACACAAAATTGTCTATAGGATTACAATAAATAAATAAAATCTGGGTTTGAGCATAAGTCTTTCGATCATAAATAAATGTCTCTGCCATTACTTTTTATTTCTAGAGTATATCATAAGTATAAATATTTAAACCATGATTGTCCTCGAAGATTTTGAGTATATAAAAAAGCCCAGAGGGTTTTGAAAATCAAAAGATTTTTCTGTACAATTAGCTGTGTAGTCCACAGCTTCTTCAGTTGAATATTAGACTCTTTGACTAAATATTCAAAAAATATATATGGAAATAGTAAACTCATTAAATTTTGTGTTGAGCTCATTGACTAGCTGATTTGTTGTTCAGTGTGATTTTTTATGTTTGATCATCATAAATTCATACCATTATTGTTATTGACAAAATTGGAAATCGTTCAACAGTCTTAGTTTATTTATATGTCATTGAATAAATATGTGTTGTTCGTTATTCTTGTATCAAGCGTACAGAAAATCTCGTTTTAATTTCCTAAACTTGCCAGGATTACATTAAAACATATTTTTATAGTGGCTATTGCAAGTGATAATTGTTTGGTGTTCTTCGTGCTTTGAGGTTTGTTCTTGGACGTCTCATCAAACTTGGTGACTTCACCAGCATTTACTTGACAAAGAAGTTAAGCATTTTAAAGTTGTATGAATGTTTATAAAGGATATTTACAACCCTGGGCGTTATTGGCTTGTAGGTTCGGGTAACCCGTCCTTCTTTACTATCGGAGATTGACCTGTATAACTGTTATCCTTAGACTTATATTGTTGATTTAATATCTGATTATTGCTGTGCTTGATTGATTTCCAGTTGGCTTAACCCATCTTGGTAGCTGTGGACCTATGGCTCATTGGTTTGGATAGTTGACTTTTAACTAATGGGTTGCGGATTCAAACACCAGGGCAGCAGGACAGTATCATTAGCCCTCATAAAATAGACGTGGCTCATCGCCTAACCCACGAACGTGTAAAACGTTGCTGAGGACATTTCGATCTCTTTGATTTTGATCATTAGCAGCCCATATATTGGGTCAATCACTGTCCACGCATCTGTTGATTGCAATTAAATTAAAGTCTCATGCTTCCAGGAATTCTCAGTTTTTAAGCTTGCTTGTCATTAGGAAATACTAGAAAGTAATGGGTTCATTGGACTAAGGAATATAACTGACATTGATCTTCTACTGGTATACATGCTTTCCAAAATTTATCATGAAGTAATAATGTGGTCGTTCAACTTACATAATGCGGAGCTTCGCTGGTTCACTGGGTGATCTATCTGTCTCATAACATATTTTTGATGTAGGCGATAATACAGAGCATTCTAGCAGTTCTTTACGTTGACCAATGGAACCTTACTTGAGGCCAAAACAGAGTTTTCATTAGCCTAGCAAGCCACTAATATTAATGACAGTTTCTTTGAAATTCCTGATTTCATGTGAGCATACCTTAGTCAACATAAGCACTCAAAATCAACATTAATTACATAATTGTCCGTCTTTTTTTGGAACCACGTTTGCAACGCAGATTACACTGATCTAAAAAACAACAAGTACCTTAGCATAAATAGGTATCGGTTCATTTTAACACGCTTCGTATCAGCTCATCCAGGTCGAAGTCACCGAGGGGATAGATAATGAAACGAAGGTAATGTCGTCATTTATGCAAAGACGTAAGAGAGAGCGAAAGGGATAATAAAATCACTAAAGACATACGGTAATCAGATATTCAGAATTTAAACTTCAATAAGGTATGAATTCGTATATGCCACTGCTGCTAAGTCTGCATGACAGTACTTAAGATCGTCAGCAACCTATTATATCGTCGACTCCAGCTGGAATGCTTGCATTTCCATGCATTGCTCAAACCAAGAATCACAGATATGATGAATAAGTACTAAGTACTAACGTTTTCGTGGCCTAACACTAATTCCAGAAACCAAGCCATTTCTTGACATCCTTAAACGGAGAAACTGCGTTTGAGTAACCGAGTCAATATTTAATAATAATTAGCTGCAATTCATCGTCAGCGTTTGGAGCTCACCTATTCAACTTGGAATAAATACTCGTCGATTATTTTAACTGGTTTGTTAGATGTATCACGCAGTGAAACTACTGTTTACTGCATAACTTTTCAGATGCAATTTATTGTCCATAGTCATATCAAAAGTGTTTATATTTTGATATGTTTCGTTTTCCCAAAGAAGTTACTGAATTCGATAAAAACTGAATTACTAGACACGTTGCAGTATTTAATGCGGCAGATTTAGCATGCAATTCAACAGTCATTTACAAGTTCACTTATCCCACTGGTAGGCACACTTTCAATGGGCGAACTACCCGAATTTCGATATGTGAAACGGTGTTCAAACCTATGATCCACTGGTTAAAAGCTGATAGACTAGTTCTATGAAACGGCTTTAAAGGTTTCAAGGCTAACATTTTTTGTTGTTATAATTTTGTCAGCCTTTCAGGAACTATACTAGTGAGAACATTTCGTACCGAAATGAAGTGTCCAGTCTTTTAAAAATTCCTGATTTCATATAATTACCAGTTCATGATGTGGTTCACTTTACCTTTACAGTTTGCATGTGGTCGTTCTTGAGGAAATTATATGCAACTGCTTTATTTCACGTTGAGAATTCCACTTTTGTTTTTGATTTCTTATTGTCATTGTTGACTATTAGTTTTTTACACACCTTATGGGATAAAATAATTTACAAATATTGAAGCTCGATTATCTTTCTCTGAAAAAAGATGTGTGTAGTATCTGATGCTGTGCCACCCATCACCCAGTTAACTTGTTGACAGAATAACTTTGGCAACGTCAAATTAGTCACCTACGCTTATTTTTTCTCACAACGTCATGTGTGAGTCACCATGTGTGTTCTTAAGGCTATAAATTCATTCCGCCTAGTTAATTAATGACCTACGTACTAAATGACATTTTTTTACTCATATACTCGTTTTGTGGGCGGCTTTAAAGGCCACCCTAGCAACGATCAAAACAACCAATGAGGTTCCTTCATTTCAGCTGGAAAGGCAGATTTTCATGTGATGAAGAAGTCTGATTAGTTAATGCAACAGTTGCCAAAGTGGCCCCTTTTTGTTACTTCACGCATTATGTTATTTGACTCTAGTGTTCTGTATAATGTTCATTAAGGTATTCTTCCAATTGTGTTAATAGAATGGTTTTATAGGATTAAATAATTGAACAAAGAATATTCCGTTTACCGTAATGTTTTATCATTCACTCTCCTTTATATACCTCTGTAATGAATGAAGTGGTTGAAATAAATGTTAGAAGATCGATGTTACAAAAGTTAAGACTGTGTATCATAGTATAATAGTCCCAGTTGTCGAATTTCACATCTGTACATTGAAGTAGAAGACAGGAAAGAGGACAAATCAATTGAATTAATGTGGTTAGAAGTCGTGAAAAGCCTTTCAACAAAATGAAAAGGAATAAATAACTATGGTATTTTGATCTAAATAATAGTTAAACCTTGTCATTTCTATCAGTTTAATTGCTGCTACGCTATCGACCCTTCTGGAATTAGACCTATTTACACTTACTACTA